CCACTTACTACATGCAATTACACACAACCAACCAAACAATAGGATGATGGGATAAGATGACAGTTTTAAAATCTAATGTAACAGCTGCGTGGAGGCAGAGACTGATAACTGAATCTTTGTTTATCGAATCAATTGCCAGAGATCCTTCTTGGGGTTTATCTTTCTTTCTTTCTTTCAGATAATCTGATATCTTTAGCATCAAGTGAAGGCAAGTGTTGGTGAATGTCTTTAGGCTGGTAGAAATACTTTTGGTGATGCACTAGGTCTTTGACTTAGTGATAAAAATTCTCTCCAGCTTTCTCCTGATCCTGCCTACTACTGTCGTTGATGAAAAGATGCAGTCTATGTAAGTAAGAAGAAACAATTTCCTTCAGATTTCTCCTGTCGCTATGATTGGTACTTGTTGGTGTTAGCTTTGTATTTCTTCGACTTTAGGCGACATGAAACAAGCCGTAAAATCCAATTTTTTTACAAAAATTATGAAATTTACGTCAATGTATCAGTAGTCACTTATAATTCAGGATTTGGTGTTGTGTTTTGACCTGTTCATCTCTAATGATTTTTGAAGCTTAGTTCTAGATTATTCCAGTTAACATCTGACTTAAATATCAGAAGGGGCGATAGTTCATCATGCACAAAATACGCCTACACGGTTTACCCTCTTTACCAGTGTACATGTGATTCATTGTCGTAAGCACTCGATTTCCAGTTATGGGTACCAGGGTTTTATCTCACTCCAACTACTACTTCAATCTGATCAACTGGGTGATCATTATCAGCATCGGTAGTCGAATTGTACAATATTCACTAACCACACATACATCATCCGAGGTTCGACTCTCGGCAAACACCGCAATGCCAAACTTCACCTAGTTTACCAGCCGATAAATAAACCGAGAGGCGCGACAAGAACCTAGCAACCCACCTCCCACCAGGCAAAAAGGCACGACGGCAAGTAGACAAAACAATAAAGCCCAAAAAGCTTTAAACCCTATTTGCCAATCGGAGCATGAAGGAATGAAAAAAAAATATTCAGCGCCCACACTACTGTGGTGAGAGCTGTCTGCTAGCCAAATTGTTTTTTCCTTCACGTTTCCCAGTGGAACATAGGGCTTCAAGCTAGAGGCTTGAAGTTTCTGTAGCAGAGGTGATTATTTTTACAGGATGGGGTTGCTAGCCTCATACCCAACCTTTCCTCTTCACCAGTTTTACTATTGGCTTAGCGAGGTAAAGGAGTGCGTCAGTGGCCGGGGATCGAACCCCGGACCATGTGCATGGTCGGCGAGCGTCCTAACCGCTATGCCACCGACGAACGCTAGCCAAATTGGTAGACACCAATTTACGTCCCAAATCTTGGTCATGAGAGAAAAAACAAGAACAAAGACTAACTCAACAGCCAATAACAGCAGACTTTGCGTGGGCGGATACAATTCACAGATATATCACCAGACTATCTAAGAAACGGCAAAAAAGAGATGACAGAATAACTTCCAGTGAGAAAACAACCAATCAGAAGACGCTGTTTCTCTCTTAATAACAACGAATAATAATGTACATAAAAATATCTAAATATCTCTTGATTTTCTCAATAAACGATCTGTTGCCTGGCCCTTGTCTTCTGTTGTTACACTACAACGCGTGGCACATAACTTATGTGATACGTAAAAGCCTGTTTTGAGTAAAATAAATCCCCACCAACCTTCATTACCAAAGAATCAATGTTTCAACTTGATATTACACCAACCAACATTCCAACAAAAAGAATTTATTTTAAAATGTTCATTGATACATATGTATATGGTAAACATATATATATATATATATATAAAAGGTTTAAAGAAATCGATTTGGTTGTTTTCAGTGAAGCTTAGGTTTAGAGTTGAAACTAGTTTTAGGATTATTGAAAATCAAAGAGTACTAGACAACCATTGTGGTGTGTGCTACCGATAAGATTTATCAGGAATAGTAATATGCAAGAACAATAAAACAGAGTGAATGCATCTGCGCCAGCCATTGATAAATATTTTGAGCCATATCACCAAGTGTCTTCAGGGCCAAGTTAAACTTTAGACACCAATAACTACCAATCAGCGAACGACTTCGAATTATCCAATGAGATTCACGAACATAGTTCAATGTTGTATAGCGCTTGATTCATTTCAATGCGTGCCCTTACAAGGTTACGTTTGCGATTCGAGGAGGATAGTGTCTTTCAGTATTGCCTGGAATTAGGCTTGCTTCGAAAGGAGAGTTGTTCGTGTGGTGGTGTAATGACTCTAAAAAGCTATACTAGGTCAACTGATGGTTTTGTATATCGTTGTGGAATATGCTGGAAGCGAGTTAGTATTAGAGAGGGTAATATTTCGTAGGAAATTTTTTTGCTAGGTCGCATCTCTCCCTAACCCAGATTTTGTACATTTGCAATTACTGGGTACCGAAATAGCACATGAGAGCCGCTGTTGCCGAGACGGAAAACAGTTCAGTGGTATACCACTGGTACACCAGCACTGCAAGGACATCGTCTCATGGAAAGTGGACAGAATTACTTCATTGTTAGGCGGGGACGACGCAGTAGTCCATGTGGATGAGACAGTGTTGGTGAAGAAGAAATATAACCACTGTCGTCAGAGAGCGAACAACATTTGGGTCATAGGTTTATACGACACGTCCCTCCGAAAAGGATTTGTTGAAGGAATAGCAGACAGGAAGGCGACTACTCTGATACCTATTATAAAGCCACTTGTGAAACCGGGATCAATTGTACATACCGACGAGTGGAAAGGCTATGATTCATTGTCATCCCTGGATACATTCATCACACAGTGAACCACTCCAGTGATTTCATGGATCCAGTTACAGGGACTCATACAAATTCCATTGAAGGATTTTGGGGTCGATTGAAAAATAGAATAAGGGCTATAAATGGATCTCAAAAGGATCTCATTCATAGTCATTTAAATGGATATATGTATAGAATGTGGTGCGACTTCTCTGTTGACAGTCCCATGCTGAATTGGGAAATGTTTCTCTCCCATGTTGGGGAAAGATTCCCATTGTAACCGTTTTATCATTTTTTATGCATTTTTCTATAAACATACGTTTCCGCTTATCATAAACGCCTCTTTCATGTGATTGTTCCGTTCAAGGTCGCTTGCTGATTGGCTGTTACTGGTGTCGAAAGTTTAACTTCGCCGTCTTCAGCCTTCATTGGTCTTTACCATCGCGAGGACCCCAACCAGTCAGTCAGGAAGTCTACACCTCCCTCCGTGGCTAGCTGGCTGGCTTAAACTAACTGTTGTGGATTCATTTCAGTGACTGATGGAGTCATGCTTTGATTTGACCACCACCACCACCCCCAGTAGCTCTTTTCCAACCTGATCCATCTTATTTTAGTCAGGGTGATCGATGGCTGGGCTAGGCTAGTCATACGTAACAAATGTCCTAACCATTCCTCTCAATCTATGTAACTTCACAACTTCGTCATCGATTGATTTTTCCTCATACTCACTTATCACTCGACCGATGCTTAACCTCAATATCGTTCACCCTATTATACCACTTAACATGGGAGATGAAACGCAGACACCAATGCTCCAAGACGGCTAGCCAGCCTCTTCGTATCTTTCACTCTCAATGGGGGGGGGTTATGTCTCACTCACAGTCATAAAGGAGGATGGAGCGAACACTGCTGAGCAGTATACACGCCCTTCGATCGACAGACAGTCGGATATCATGTCTACCTAGCCAGGTAGGTTGGCTGGCATATGCCAAACGAGCTTTCTCTATCCGTGCTGAGATTTAGTCAGCGACCAACCCGTTGTCGCTGGCTGATACAACTCCCACATCACTCTCTATCAATTAGTTGGAATGGGTCAATGTTATTCAGTCCCGTAGCATCACCGTACACGTTTGACAGGAACGAATCGCACGCCAAACATTCGAAGACTGCTCGCTGCTCAAGGTGTTCAGAAGACTGTGTCTGATCAACGTATGGCGATGTGAATTGCGACAATATGTTTGTGATTATAATCTCACCTTGATATGTAATACTTTATTTGCCTACTTATCTCGAAACAATAGAGAAGATTTCTAGGTTACACTCACTTCTAGGATTTATATTTAGTTATGAAAAGCATAACCTTTTCGGTCGCTTGATGTTTATAATTATGATTATCATTACAGTTATTTTATCGCAATTCAACATTATTATTTTGGAATAAAATCAACATCATACATGTATATATGTAGTAGGTGACTAGGAGATAATGCAAGTCATCCGTCTGTCATAAGTGTAAAAATCTTAACGTCTATAATCTTCCATCAGGATTTTCCTGTTAATTGAATCGACAGAAATTTTTCATCTCAGTTGACATGTTGGCGCCTAACACAGATGCTCCAATGTTGTCTAAGAATTAATATGATATTTTAATGTGCGTCGGTGGCACAGTGGTTAGGACTCTCACCGACCATGCACATGGTCCGGGGTTCGATCTCCTGCCGACGCACACCCGATATTTATGGTCGGCCTGCAAAATTTGGGCTACCGATATCCATGCTGAAGATACCATACTTGTACTGAAAATATGGTGTGGCATCAAGCTGTAATCAATAAAAAATTTGACTAGCAGCACTTCGTCCTATTTCGGACTCATCAGTTCGATGTTTCTGTGCATTCCTGAGTGAGTGAGTGAGTGAGTGAAAGTGTCCCCCCATTGACACAAGAACCCAAACTCCGTCGGTAGCCATTGTTTCAAAAGCACGAAGAAGTTATCCACTAGACCACTTGGTTAACGAGAACAAGAATTCAAGTTCCAGTATAAATGCATGGTGCGAATCCACCTGACATCCCCCAAAACAATACGAAATATGCATCCCAAGCTCCTCTTTACTATGCTAATCACACTATCCATCAAGAAATAGCTATAATGCTTCTGTACATATTATAAATAAAAGCAAACGTATAGAAATAAAAAACATCAAGAAAAAATAGGCAAACTAACCAATTCACTTAAGCCATCTTCTTTATTATATCTAGCATAATCACGTCGTAATGTTCGCATTAATATCATGCACACCAATGCAACAAGGAATAATACCATCATAAATGAATTAAATATTGAAAACCAATGAATCTATAAAGCAAAACAATAAACAACAAAGCTTTAACAATATGATACTACACCGATCAGCATATACTTAAACAGGAATTTCTTCAAGTATCTCAAATTTGGTTACAGGATTTCATCATGAGCTGACACTGGTTAGAGAACCATTGGAAAACCAACTGGAAGTACTGGACAGCTGTTTCGTCAGTCTAGTTTGGGACTCTTCATCAGTACGCACCCAGGACCTTCTGGTTACAAGGCGAGCTAGCTCGTATACCATTAAGCCACTGTGATCCAATCCAATGGCCAGCCAGTGCATGAATTCTAACTACTGCCAATTCACGACATAGCGCACCCCCTAGCCAATGTCTTCGGTGGCGAGTATTTGTCCTTACACCCGACCGGCTGTACCTTACTGGTCACGACTTCCCAATGGAACCCGAGGTAACTACCTACCTGAATAGGGCCAGTCGTCAGTGAGCATCTCATTGATATTTAAGTATTGGTTTGTAGGGATTTGGTTGATTGGTTACAGGAATTCATCATGAGCTGACATCGGTTAAAGAACCATTGGAACCCAGGTTTTCCAATGGTTCTCTAACCAATGTCAGCTCATGATGAATTCCTGTAACCAATCAACCAAATCCCTACAAACCAATACTTGAATATCTCAATTTGCCCCAACAAACGACCTATTACGAGGCCAAGAGTGTATGGACTCTTATCTTCTTCTCGAAATGTCCTCATACCGTCATGAGTCTATAGCCTCTGCTAGGTAAATCCTATTCTGTTCACTACCATAACATGACAGGCATGTTTCTTTCCAAAAATTTAAAGGGCAAGTAAACATTTACGTCGATTACCACTGGAGTTGGTGGAAACACAGGTCTACCTAGGGGAGCTGAAAACACTCTGTACATGAGCTCCAAAATACGGATGAAGTGAATGGCATATGATGAACCCATTGGGAACGTGATTTCTGACGCTTCTCCACTATCTATCTTGTGGAACAGACTTCAAGTCAAAGGCTCACAATATAGTTGGTGTAAAAGCATTTTCTCAACCTCTGAACCAACTATGAGATCTTGTGTGTCACATTTCTTGGAGTGCATTATTATTATTCCCCGAGTTTTTGTTTGAATAAATCAATTTATTATATCACAAACTGGTAGAAGTTAGGATTCATGCACCATTGGATTCCTTCACAGTGGCTGAATGGTTAGCGAGATCATCTTGTAAGAACTGAAAGTCATGGGTTCGCCTTCCCTCCCCCTCTGACTGATAGAGGAAGCATGGTTTTTCACTGTTGAGGAGGAACAAACTAGGAAGAAACAGCTGTCCAGTATGTAAACCTTGGTTTCCAATACTTCCCTCATTGATATCAATCCGTGATATTCAACTCCAAATAGTAATTTTTATTGTAACAGATATTCAACAGCATGGTTTGCACAGTGTATTCAGAAGGAAAATTATTCGAGACATTATACTTGATAGGAAAGATCGGCTAGGTTAAACTTAAGCACCACTCACTACCACCAAAGGAATGCGTTCGTACCAAAAACCTTGAATGGTCCAATGAGTTTCACCCAAGTGAAGTGAAGCTTCTATTCCGCTTGATTCAAGTCAAATGTCTGCTTTTACACAGCGGTGTTTGCAGTTTGGTGAGGAACAAGTCTTACCGTATTGCTTATATGTGGTTGTGATGACCATAAAAGCTCCAGCAGGTCTCTTGATGGAGATGTGCATCGTTGTACAATTTGTTTTAGACGAGTTAGTGTTAGGGAAGGGAAGCTGATGATTCTAATATTTTGTAGGAACATTTCTTGCCAGGTCCCATCTGTTCTTAATACAGATTTGGTATATTTGTAATTACTGGGTTTTAGAGCAGCTTGTGAGAGGTGTAGCTGCTGAAACTGAAAATAATCCTAAAAATGGAGACGCTTACTTCCTTATTGGGATGAGGTGTCGTCGTACATGGGAATGAAAATGTCATTATTAGAGAAAAAATACAACCGTGGTCGAGAACGAGCGAATAATGTCTGGGTGATCCCAATACAGGAACCCACACCAATTCTATTGAAGGCTTCGGGGGAAGGTTAAAAAACAGGATCAGAGAAATAAATGCATTTTAAAAGGATACCCTTTATAGTTATTTAGATGAATATTTATGTATAGGATGTGGTGTAGTTTTCCCATTGATGTTTCTATACTAAACTGGGAGATGTTAGTATCACATGTCAGAGAAAGGTATCCTGTGTAACACTTTTATACAGTTTCTAAGCGTTTTTCTCCCCGTAGGTATATGTATTCCACATCCCAAATTAACCTCCTTCATGTGACTGGTGCTTTCAAGGTCATTCGTGGATTAGTAGTTAATGGTGCTCATAGTTTAACTTTGCCGAAAGTTCAAGGTACAACAACAACCTTATTGTTTATCAAGACAATTAGTTGCAGCAAATAGGTGTTTACACTTATTGGAAAACTGTCCAAGTTAACGATAGACGAAAAACCATCATTTATTTGATCGGTCGGAGGATTTCATTATGAGCTGACATCAGTTACAGAACCATTGGAAAGCCAGTCAGCGAGTACTGGACCACCAGCTGTTTCGTCAACCTAGTTTGGGATTCTTCATCAGTATGCACCAACTCCACAACCAGGGTTCCGCCCGAGGACCTTCTGGTTACAAGGCGAGCTAGCTCGTAGACCATTCAGCTAGCCACTGGGACTCAACCGATCCAATGGTTAGCCAATGCATGAATTCTAACTTCTGCCAATTCACGACGTAGTACAACCACTTCGCAATGTCTTCTTCGGTGAGAAACTCTCCTCATCCTCAATCTGCTCTTACTTACTGGTCACGAGCTAGTTCCCCTTGTAACCAGAAGGTCCTGGATTCGAACCTCAGTGTGTTGGGTGCGTACTGATGAAGAGTTAATCCCAAACTGGGCTGACGAAAAAGCTGGCTGTCCAGTACTCCAGTGGTGGTCGTCTTTCAATGGTTCTCTCACTGATGTCAGGTAACAATGAAATCCTCCAGCCAATCAAAGAGCATCCCTGGGGTTCTAGTGAGAAGTCGTGACCAGTAGGGTGCAGCAGGTCGGGTATGAGGACAAATACTCGCCGAAGACATTGGCTACGGGTCGCGCTATGTCGTGAATTGGCAGAAGTTAGAATTCATGGGCCATTGGATTGGGTCCCAGTGGCTTAATGGTCTACGAGCTAGCTCGCCTTGAAACCAGAAGGTCCTGGGTTCGAACGGTGGTGGTGGGTGCGTACTGATGAAGAGTCCCAAACTAGGGCGAAACAGCTGTCAAGTACTCCCAGGTTTTCCAATGGTTGTCTAACTAATGTCAGCTCATGATGAAAATCTTGTAACCAATCAAATCCCTACAAACCAACACTTGAATATTTTATTTATTTATTTATTTGGCTTTCGTTAAAATAAGCCGGTTATGCTGAAGACAGAAAAGACAGGTGAATTGATTATCATCACAAACAACATACATTTATATTCTCATATGTATACAAAAGTAGTAGATAGTTGTACCACACAGAACACACAAACAGGCTATATATATATAGATAAAGAGAGAGAAAGAGAGACAACCTTTTGGTAGCTCATATTGATCCAGAATAATATATAACATGTGAATTTCTTTCGAAGAGTTAAAACTAACTCTATGCAGTGTGTAAATGAATAAATATCATGCAAGTAGATATTTATTTTTACCCTTAAAAATTAAAATGAAGAGATTAGAAGAAGAAGAATTGTGTAGGAGAATAAGAAGTTTAAAATTCTAATAATACTTTTGAGACTGTGAAACCAATAGATATATCCATGCATTTTAACCATTAGAAGATGGAAAAGATGATGTCACATCTCACTGTTGTATTCACCAATTTCAATGTACGTGTGTGTGTGCGAAACATATTACAGAGGAGACAGGACAAAGGACTGATGTTTCTACACGTCTTTTAGAACGTATCTGTAGAATGTGTTTGGAGTGGGGCATATTCTTAAGTTTGCGGAAGCCCTACCTAGCAATTAGGAAGTTTATATCACCTTTATGCGTTCAGAAACAACTCATCACACTAAACCATCTTCCGTGGTAAGATTTGTTTTGATACCAGGGTAGATGTACTACAACCTCTGTTATTTGGTTTAGTGACTGATCGTCATTGTTATTTTCGCCGATGATATATGTCTGATTTCCCACAAACTGGAAGATATGCAAGCGAAAAGCAACAAGTTGGCAAAAGAAGCATCCAGAGAAGATAGGAATTCAGGTGAACATAGAGAAAACAGAGGTGATGAAGATCCCTGGCCAACAAAAACAGCAACAACAACAGACAACGATCAGCATAAATGGAAGAAACCTGAAAGAAACAACCTCTTTTACCTACTTGGAAAGCATCGTTCCAACTACAGGCGAACGGAACTGACGAGGATATCAAAGCGAGAATCGGAAAAGCAAGACAAGCTTTCACTACTCATGTCAAGTCTGTGTGGAGGTCAACACTCAGCACTCAGCATCAAAAAGTAGATCCGGATTTTCAACTCCAATGTGAAGTCAGTGCTACTATACGGATCAGAGACTTGCAATGCGCGTCATAAATAGCACCTCAAAAAAACTAAAGACCTTCATCAACAGTTGTCTTCGCCCAATACTACTCAAGATCACATGGCCAGCCGGACAGAAAAGATCAGCAACAGAGATCTCTGGGAGCGAACCAACCAGGAACCAATTGTGAAACAAATAGGCAGGAAGAAATGCAGTTGGTGGGTTGGCCATACTCTGAGGAAACCATCAAATGGCATCACTAAACAAGCCATTGGTCGAGTGGAAACCGAAAGGGAAGCGGCTAGTTGGTCGTCAGTGCAAGGGTGACTTGGAGGAGGTCAAGTGAAGAGGAGATGAAGGTGTGTGGGCAGACTTGGAACCAGGTAAAGACTCTAGCAGAGAACCGAACGCAATGGAGACGCACGGCTGAAGCCCCCCTATGTTCCTCTAGGAATTAAAGGATACAATGATAATAATAACAATACTGTCCTTTTGTAACAATAGAAGGCAAGACACGGAAGCAAAGGTTTGTTTTCATTGATCGAACCGCTGTTTATATATGTGCAGTTTATATTCTTTAACTAATCATTAAGCGGGTGATTCTGGCTTACATTAAATGACATCAAAAAGAGAATGTACAAATACACATATTATTCGGTTGCTAATACAGTATTGAACTGTGGGAAAGTATTCTGACTCTAACGTCAAATAGAATGTTCAAATGGATATATCGTATTCTGAACCATGGGAATATATGAGAACGATATTCCATTGGCACACATTGTCTGTATCACACCACACCACTACACTTTTAACTTGATCTGAGTTTATTTTCTCACCTCTTAATTCTTCATTAATTATATATATATATATGTATATATATATATACTTTTTTATGACAAGTCCGTGTGTGATTAGATTATTCGAAATGTAACAAAAGTGATGAGTTGTCACAAGAGACAGTTAGAGAAGAGTTACGTAATAACATGAATAGTTTAATGAAAGAGTTGTGCTCAGGGTGTACATGGAAACAAAATAACATACGGTATTACACAAGGGTTTTAAGTAGACAAATAAGCATACAAACAAAAGTCAAGTCAAATCAAACAAACAAACGAACCGAGGACCTTCTAGTTACAAGGTGAGCTCGTATACCATTAAGCCACTGGGACCTGATCCAATGGCCCATGAATTCTAACTTCTGCCAACTCACGAGTCCCAAACTAGGACGAAACATCTGTCCAGTACTCCCAGATTTTCCAATGGCTCTCTAACTAATGTCAGCTCATGATGAAATCCTGTAAGCAATCAACCAAATCCCTACAAAACAATCCTCAAAATCTAATTGTTACAAGTACCTTTGAATCAAGTAGAGTATGTTTAACAACAAGGTGAGATCAAAGACTAATGTCCACAAGAATCACACCTCAACGCTTCCCACAGACACCGCTGTCCAAGAACAGAATGGCCTTGATTCACTGAAATAAGACCATAGTCGTTAAACAACACATTACTCTGTCGTCCAACTTGCCGAAATGATTGCAAAACTGTATTAAGGAATCATCAATATCCGAAGTGGTTATCTGAAAGGCACTCCAGAGTTATCATACACACCGTTTTGGTTATTGATTTATTTTAAGATAGTTTGTAGGAACAAAATAAATCATCTTGTGATCATTTTGATGGCTTCCTCCTACTGGCCATAGTAATAATGTTGACACTGTTCACCAGACGTGAAACAATCATATCCAGTTATAGTTTTAAGGTTTAGACTGAAATCCTTTTCTGTTGTCTTTTGTTTCTTTAACTTAAATGTTTCCAAAAAATATTCTTTCAAGTGCATGTAACAAAGAGTGACATCATTTCAGATTAGTGAATCTACTGTGTTGATTGTGTCATCTCTTGTAGTAGCTTTCTGCACCCCTACTTTACTCTACTCTACTGGAGCTAATAGGAGGAGAGGTTATCTTTAACCCTAAATGTCTGCTTTCTATCTCCCGTGTTAAGTGGTACAATACGTTGAGTCAGGTAGAATGCCAGAAAAGGTGGCAGGATAAATCAGTCAATGAGATTAAGAAACTGTTAGGACATATGTTATGCACCTCACAAGCCACTGCTTTCCTCATCCAGTTTCTTTTTTTATTCCTTTACGTTCCCAGTGGCGGAACATATGGCTTCAAGCTAGAGGCTTGAAGTTTCGATAGCAGTGGTGTTTACCTTTACGAGATGGGTTGATAGCTTCATTCCCAACCTTCCCTCCTTACCAGTCTTATTAGCGAGGTAAAGGAGTGTGCATCGGCTGGGGATCGAACCCCGAACCACATGAGGCGTGGTTGGTGAGCATTATACCGCTGTGACACCGACGCCCTCGCGTCCAGTAATTTTAGCTAACATCAGATTGGGTCAGAAAAGAGTTACAGTTGGTCGAATGAAAAGCTTACATCAACTCAAAAGGTTTTTTAAACTATGAATTTTATCACCAACACCTGCACAGAAGAATAATGCTTCATACGTTGGTGCATGAAAAATGTGTTCTGGGTTATTGAGTTCTAGCTAACTAAAGGAGACTAATACACTCATTTCAGATGAAATATGTCAGAGTAAATCAATCTTTCTAAATACACCATGTTCAGATTGAAATGAACATTTCATCAGTTACTTGACAGATAGTGACTAGCATGGTAATTTAGGATGCGCTTTTCATCCTATTTGAGACTGATCAGCTGGATGTATCTGCATACTCCAGTGAGTGATGGTGTTTACGACTTGTACGATGCCAATCAGGCACCCATACTACCCACTAAATCACTTGGGCATGACAGACACCTTTTTTGCAACAGGTAACAGGATTCCTGGGCAACACCACCAACAGCAACAACAACAGACAACAATCAGTATAAATGCAAGGAATTTGAAAGAAACAACCTCTTTTACCTACCAACCTGGGAAGCATCGTTTCAACCACAGGCTGATGGGACTGACGAGGATATCAAAGCGGCGAGGATCGGGAAAGCAAGGCAAGCTTTCACTACTCAAGTCAAGTCTGTATGGAGGTCAACAGCACTCAGCATCAAAAATAAGATCCAGATTTTCAACTCCAATGTGAAGTCAGTGCTACTTACTGTACGGATCAGAGACTTGCACTGCGCGTCATAAAGAGCATCTCAAACAAACTACAGACCTTCATTAACAGTTGTCTTCGCTACAATACTCAAGATCAGATGGCCGACCAGAAAAGATCAGCAACAGGGATCTCTGGCAATGAGCGAACCAACACAGCAGGAACCGATTGTGAAACAAACAGGCAGGAAGAAATGCAGTTGGCGGATTGGCCATAATCTGAGGAAACCATCAAGTGACATCACTAGACAAGCCATTGGTCGAGTGGAACCCGAAAGAGAAGCGACGAGTTGGTCGTCAGTGCAAGGGTGACTTGGAGGAGGTCATGTGAAGAGGAGGTGAAAATGTGTGGGCAGACTTGGAGCCAGGTGAAGACTCTAGCAGACAACCGAACTCAATGGAGACGCACGGCTGAAGCCCTATGTTCCTCTAGGAATCAAAGGAAACAATAGTAATAATAATAACAGGACTCGACATATCCACATGGATTAAACATTGTGTAATGGAATAATTGTTTGGAAAATCCGTCCTCCTGAACGATTTAGTCATATTTATACTTATATTTCGGTGATTCAACTAACTTTGTAGTTATTAATCCGTTTTTCTCCTAAACTGTATGTCATTATTCTGGCATTTGCAATATCACTTGTTGATGTGATCCTAATTATTTGTCTTTGTCCTTTTGTTTAATCTCTAATTTTAATGCTCGTCGCTGTGGTTGTGCGATACATTGATAGTGTAACGTCTTCCTTCCTTCCTATACTAGGAAACTATAAGAAACATGTTGCCAAGATAATAATAATAACACCTGTCCAGTACTCCCAGGTTTTCCAATGGTTCTCGAACCAATGTAAGCTCATGATGAAATCCTGTAACCAATCAATCAAATCCCTACAAACTAATACTTGAATATCAATGAGATGCTCACTGGCGACTGGCCCTATTCAGGTAGGTAGTTACCTGGGGTTCTAATGAGAAGTCGTGACCAGTAGGGTTCAGCAGGTCAGGTGTGAGGACAAATACTCGCCGAAGACATTGGCTAGGAGTCGCGCTATGTCGTGAACTGGCAGAAGTTAGAATTAATGGGCCATTGGATCGGGTCCCAGTGGCTTAATGGTATACGAGCTAGCTCGCCTTGTAACCAGAATGTCCTGGGTTCGAACCCCGGTGGATGTGTACTGATGAAGAGTCCCAAACTAGGCTGACGAAACAGCTGTCCAGTACTCCCAGCTGGTTTTCCAATGGTTCTCTGGCTGATGTCAGTTCATGATGAAATCCTGTAACCAATCAACCAAATCCCTACAAACCAATACTGGAATCCCATAGGTGTTACTTAATCAGTCTACACTATCCTACCCCACCCTACTACTCACATGGCTCAAACCAATTACTGTAGACTACATGAATTAATGCTTCGGTTTTTAATTTGACCACTTTCAACCAACCTGATCCTCTGTCGGCTAACAAATTGTTTAACAAGGAAGCTGATGGCTCGAGAATATATATGCAGCAGGCATGGTGTCCTAACCATCTCTGTCAATCAATCGATGTGTAGCTTCACAAACCTCGTTAATTAACTGACTCACGTAACACCCTATACCCCTTTTATTATACCACCACCTAACACGGGAGATAGAGCGCAAACGTCCGTATGGTCGAAGACGAGACTAGTCTTTCCATGTCTTCCACATTCGTTGGCCTTATCTCACGATACTAAAGAGAATCTAACTTAAACTGATAGACAGGCGGTTAGTAAGATTTACCAGGATATTAATTAAAATGGACTCTATATATAATCCAAACATAATCATATCAGATTAGTAAGTTATTACGGTATGTCATATATATATACATATATATATTATATATTTTATATATATATGTATTATATATATATATATATATATATATACAGGAATATACACAATTCATGTTGTGCTGTTGGTTTAGTCTAACATATAAAATATGTGAGACAGCTTAGTCAATGAAGCAATAATAGTAATAATAATAATCACAGTTTATTGATTCTCTTTTTAATGTATCGTATCAACAATTAATTCTTTTTTGTTGACCTTAAGTGGCAAAATAACAACAACAACAAAAAACAATTAGATAAAACAAAAGAAATTAACAAAAAAATGCAATAACTTTGACCAGTGTATAAGTTATTGAGTAAATACCACCATATGCATATATAGATATAGATATAACAAATGTAAAGCGACGTAACCACTTCTTACTTTATGTCCAAAGAATTCATAGTCCAGATATTTATCGAATCGATCTTCAAAGGATATTTCTGATGGAACCCATTTAACCTTTAGCGTAAAAACAAGAAGAAACACACAACAGAAGAAGAAGAATCGTGACGTTAATTTTACTCATGATTACTATTATCATTATATACTACTACTCATTTTATTCCTTTTGCGTTCGGACACGAACTTAGGGGGGTTGGCTAAACTCACGCCCAACTTCCTCTTCTTTGATTGCATGGAGGATTTCATCATGAGCTGACATCAGTTAGAGAACCACTGCAAAACCAGCAGGGAGTACTGGACAGCTGTTTCGTCCTAGTTTGGGAGTCCTCATCAGTACGCACCCACCGGGATTCGAACCCAGGACCTTCTGGTTACAAGGCGAGCGTGCGCTTTGCTTTCCAAACGCATCTCCGGCATGTTTAGCAAAGAGACAGTGCAAGACAATTACTAGCTCAACTCTCGAGCATTTGGTGAACTCAGGGCGCGTAGCTCCACCGGAGTCGTCTTTCAAGATCATCTACAAAGTGAAGCCAAATGGTACGAAGGGTGTCAGGTTTCGGCTTTTGTGTATGGAGGAGGTGCTGGCAATTCATCATCAATAATTTTCACTTCTAAAGCCACTTCTGAGTAATTATATCAATTATGTCACCCCCTATTACTCAAAAATAGACCGCGATATATTTTAGTAAGTATAAATACGACTGTACAACCGCCTCTGAAGATGATTTCGTCGATAAAGAAAATTTTCTCCTCTGGCTGAATCTGTCTTTTATTTTCTTCATGAGTCAATGGGAATTTTCGGTGATCAAATTCTTTATTATTCAAAATCATGAGTACACTGCACACATTTTCACATTCTACTATAATAATATTAATAATAATAGGCCTTTTGAACATGTCGTATGATGTAGTATGCAAGCGGTTCAGTGGTGCTGAAATACTGCTCATGTAAGCACACACACACACAGGAAGAAAACCAGATTTTGTGTTTAAAACAAGTAACAAGTGTTAATAAATAAAGCAGGACTGACTGATTGACTGACTGGTTTCAAAGTAGATCTTTGCACCGATATGCAGCAGTTTGAGTTGCCACACTTCCTTCAGCAAACAAAGACAGATAAGAAAGTAAAAAGAAATGAAAACTAGAAACATTAAACAGAGATAAGAGACAAAAAGAATAGGAATAACAAAGAACAATTTAGTTTCATTGGGTATGATAGGTCACAAGGGGTAGATGCATCTGCGCCAACGATTTTGAGCCATATCACCGATTATCTCCAGCCATTGGTTTTTACCGCCCCGAGGACTCCAATTAGAAGTCTACACATTCCTACGTGGCTTAAACTAACTGTTGTGGATTTATTTCATTGACTGATGAAGCCATGTTTTGGTTTGACCACCGCTGGCTCCTTTCCAACCTGACCCTATGTCAGCTAACATTGCCCATTGTCGAGGAAGGCGATGACTAGGCGTACGTAACACATGTCCTAACCATCTCAGTCGATGTAATTTCACAGCCACCTCGTCTATTGATTTCCCCTCCAACTTACCTAGCACTCGACTGATGCCTAACCTCAATATTGCTCACCCTATTATACCACTTCACATGGGGGATAGAACGCAGGCACCTATGGTCAAAGACAGCTAACTGGCCTTTTCATGTCCTCCACTCTCAATGGACAGGTCTCATAACCACAAAGGAGGATGGAGCGGACTGATGAACAGTACACACGTCCTTTGGTCGATAGCCGGATATCACGTCTACGATAGAGATGGCGTGAACTGGCATGTGCGAAACCAGTCCTCTGTATGAGTGCTGAGATTTCATCAGCAATGAAGTCAACCCGTTGGCGCTGGCTGATGCAACTTCTCAAACAAGTGAACTGGTCAACACGCTCTACCACTTCACTCCCTATTTCTAAGCTGAGAGTCGATGTAGTCCAGTCCTGTAGCATCGTCTTACATTTGACAGCAAGAGCGAATCGCATGCCGAACATTCGTAGATTGCTGCTCAAGGTGTTCAGAAGACTCTGCATTCTGTCAGCGTCTTCACTTACAAGGACTATATCGTCTGCATATTCTAAGTCAACAAGATTACCACCACCCCCCTAATAACAAGTCAATCCCCGAGTCACTGAAGTCAGTTAGGGTTAAGTCCACTAGTACTTCTATGATGAAATTGAATAGAAATGGGGATAGTGGGCATCCCTGACGGACACCACTGTTTGTCACCAATTCAGATGACAACTCGACGTAAGCTCTCACCTGGCTGCATGAGTTCGATTAAAGTGTCTTGATCAGTGCAATGTGTTTTTTCGGTATCCCCTTTACAGCCAAACATCGCCATAGTACCTCTTGGTCGAAAGAATCGAATGCCGCCTTTAGGTCAAGAAATATAACGATTGTTGGACGCCGACGGTAAGTATCCCTATGTTCCAGAATCTGTCAAAGGGTGAAGATATGATCATTACACCCCCTTCCTGGTCTAAAGCCTGTCTGGTTCTCCCATGTTTGTTCCTCACGAGCACCACTTCGTCTACGCATTATTATTTAAGCAGGAGATTTAGTAAATTCACTAAGTCTCCATACAACTCTTTAGCTGAATACCCGACATTATTTTTAGTGTTATTATTTATATCTCTTAGGTTCCCAGTGGAACATAGAGCTTCCAACAGCCCATCTTCATTTCATCCCACTCTCCTCAGTTGTCTTCAGTTGGCTCCACGATTGTCCGTAAGCTCTTACCTCCTACTCCTCCTCATCATATGATTTCCTCTACATCACCCCAGGACTTGAATCAAACTCATCGTTGCCCATTCAGATTCTTTTCGAAGGCCTGGCGCGCGATGTCACTCCTCAGAGAAGGTAGCTGTTGTTGATTAAAGTGTCCAGCCTTTTCATAATGGTTTTTTTTTGGTGAAACTCAAGTTTCAACACACGTGCAATTGGAATGACGCAATGCTTTTACCGAAGATATGGAAAGTGGCATTAAACAAGAAACGGAAGTTGGAGAGACAGAATAGAGAGAGAAAAATATATATACGACAAACTGTGAAAACATGTGACTAAAACTGGAATGATTATGAGTGTCATTCAGTTCTTAATACTGCATCATCACTGTGTGATATTTAAAATAAACTTATCTACTATGGAATTATATTCTACCACACACAGTGCCCAAGTTCTGCACTTACATTATTGATGTTAGAAAACATTCATACCTGTCGTTTTGTTATTATTCGTGCATTGTAGTTTACCTGCTTATCAACCACACATCTCAATGTGTTTCTACTAAAAGTATATATATATATATATATATATCCATATATATATATATATGTATCACTGTATGCATTCAGCTGAGTAATTTTACCGAAATCTGAAAAATTCGTTAAATCCCACCCATTTATTAACACTTTTTGCTTGTTTTAAACTAGTAAAAAGTAAATAAATATTTAAGTATTGGTTTGTAGGGATTCGATTGATTGGTTACAGGATTTCATCATGAACTGACACATCAGTTAGAGAACCATCGGAAAACCTGAGAGTACTGGACAGCTGCTACGTCAGTCTAGTTTGGGACTCTTCATCAGTACGCACCCACAACATGGGTTCAAACCCAGGACCTTCTGGTTACAAGGCGAGCTAGCTCGTAGACCATTAAGCCACTGGGACCCGATCCAATGGCCCATGAATTCTAACTTCTGCGAATTCACGACATAGCGCGACTCCTAGCCAATGTTTTCGGCGAGTATTTGTCCTCACTTGTAACCAGAAGGTCCTCGGTTCAAATCCCGGTGGGTGCTTACTGATGAAGAGTCCCAAACTGGACTGACGAAACAGCTGTCCAGTACTCCCAGGTGTTCCAATGGTTCTCTAACTGATGTGTCAGCTCATGATGAAATCCTGTAACAAATAAATATTTGATTGATTGGAGGATTTCATCATGAGCTCACATTAGTTAGAGAACCATTGGAAGAACACCAATGGAGTACTGAACGACTGTTTCGTCAGCCTAGTTTGGGATTCTTCATCAGTATGCACCAACTCCACAGCCAGGGTTCGAACCGAGGACGTTCTGGTTACAAGGCGAGCTAGTTCGTAAACCATTAAGCCATTGGGACCCAACCGATCCAATGGCCAGTCAGTGTATGAATTACAGCTTCTGCCAATTCATGATGTAGCTCAACCACAGAACAGACAATTCATTTAATTTCCACAGTTGCATGCCTCCATATACAAAACGAAACCTGATACGTGCAACTGAGTCATAGAATCCACAACATTTGCAGCTCTGACACTATGGAAGAGGAAATGAACACTAAAAACGACTACCCCTTACATTTTATCAGAGTCCATCAAACCTTAATCACCAGAAACGCCCACGCTTTCTACTCCCAAAAGACTTCTACTTGAATCTACAATTCAGTGGAAACTCATCAGCAGATATACTGAGAAACCGTCTGGCCTGCCTAATGAAGAAAATCTTCTTCACAGCTGAAGTTCGATTCACTTTCTCCACAAAACAAATGATTCGTACGAACGTGAAGGAAAAGGTACCATAACTGGCCTCATCGATGTACATCTATCAGTTCACCTGCTCCTATGGAGCTAGGTACGTTGGTCGCACTCGGCATTTGCTATCCAAACGTATCATCGAATAATTATCCTCATGGTTTTCTACAGGGAAAAAAAGATCCCACCGACAGCTCTACCCTGGAACACCTGACTGAATCTGGACACCAAGCTAATCCACAAACCAAATTCAAAGTTATCTATAGAATACGTGGGGATCTCGCAATGGTAATTCAAATGTTAAATCCCAAACTGTGAATACAGAAGTTTGTTCGGTAAGTACATCCACAATTAACACTAAGTGAGTAATTTTTGATTTTTAATTGTACTAACTTCTTACCCCCCACCACCCGCATTAAATTTCTATCCCTTATTACCACTGTGGTTAGCTTGATTCTAGATCAATTTTAGTTGGATTCAAATTCAATTCTTGCCGACACATTCATGGTTATAAATATTGAACAGACACGAATGATGCCGAA